GCTACCTCCTTCACTGGCTCCATAGAATTATCAACAAAAAACTAGCAAACTAGTCAAGAGTCAATTGTTCAACAAATATGTAGGAGAAAGTAGGAATGAGTATGGTATTCGTAGAGGAGGCCGTCGAATGACATCATGTGCAATCAGGCTAGCCTTCATTCAACTGGAAAACAGCGGCTGGGTGGTCTGAGGGTGAGATTCAGGAGAGAATATGGATAGTCGTGGGCCCAAATAAAGAGCACATCAAAAAGTAGAACAAAGTGGAGATGTATTTTTGAAGCCTTATGTTCCAATCGGTACCCAAGGGACACAGTAATCATAATAATGTTGCGATGATTTTCGACTAGGAAGTGAATTAGACGGAGAAAGTTATATCACCTCAGCTATTTAGAAAAGACAATATTCACATGAAAAAACAACAACAATGAAATGACAGTCAAATGATGTATCATGCTATCATCCCACAAAAGCCTAACAAGACAGAAACACAAACTACAACAATTGTTTACGGAAACATGTTAAAACAGATAACATGAGTAGAGGAGTATTTATCGCATGCTGGTGTAAATTTATAACATAAGCATGTGCTATGCAACATAATGGTTATCACATCACAGGTTTTCTAGTTCTGTGGTGTTGTTTTTTTTCTCAAAGCATAAATTAATGTGAACGTATTGTATGGTTAAGCATCTGATAGCGGCTTTTTTTCTAAAACTCTATAGGTTTACTTATATTTCTTAAAGTAGACAATACAAATTTGAAACTTATCTGAAGCTGTATTTTATCCCTAAGAAATATGTCTGTCTGTTTTCGACATAGAACTTTGCACATATGTGCAGCAGTTCAAGTCGCCACACTCCCTCCTTGTAGCATACAAAGCAAGAGAAGAAAGTACAAGAAAAGCATAATAGACAGAGTAAGCAGAGGTGTGAGACAAAAGAATAGTAATAACGAAGAACAAAACAGATTCATTGGAAATCATAAGTCACAAGGAGTGGATGTATCTGCGCCAGCCATTGAGAACGATTTTGAGCCATTTCATCAATAGTTTCCAACCATTGCTTTTTACCGTCCCGAAGACCCCAAACAGGAAGTCCACACCTTCTTACGTGGCTTAGACTAACTATTACTGAATTATACACCATTGACAAGTTTAATTATTACATATTTTCAACAGGAATTTTGACAGTCAACCTGTAAAATGTGAACAGTCAACTTTACATCGAAGCATAAATGAGAATCAAAAGAATAGGAATTTAGGCGCTGAGGTTAAACATGATTTTTAGAACTGTTTTTTGTGATAAAGCATACAGCGATAACGTTTCATGCGCAGTTACTCATTCATAATTATATCACCGCGCTCGCAAAATCTCCTTCAAATATTGTTTGGATAGTTCCAATACAGGCGTCGGTGCCACAGCTGTTAGAACTCTCGCTGAACATGCACATGGTCTGGGGTTCAATTCCCTGGCGAAGCACACCTGCAAAATTTGAGCTACCAATATCTTATGCTGAAAATTCCATACTTGTACCAAATATACGGTGTGGAATCAAGCTATAATCAAAATATTTCTTATCCTTTGATTTTATTGGTAATAATATTTTTGGTATCTCTGGTATTGGCCCTGGGTCATTCCTGTTGCACGCGTTAGGCAGAGACTCGATGAGCAAGGATTCAGTGACTAACTGCTCCCTTAATCTATTTTACTTTTTAGAACTGTAATGTTGTCACATGCTAATGAGTGAACACATATTAATGCATGCATTACAAGTGTTGAAGTTTTCTCTAGATTAGTCTTTTAAAGGTCAATCATCCTCTGCTTGCTTAAATTCCCATATTCCAATAACTGACTCCGGTTCATTGGATTGACCTAAGTGATCGATTTCACAGTTATTACAATGTATTTTGTAGATTAGGTTATTTTGTTTACCTGAGTCAAGATGGTCGTTTAGAGAACAGAGTTTTTCCCTCGATGAGTTTGTAGGTTTGAATACCATCCTAATGCCTGCTTCATCAGAAACCCAAGATCAGGTTTCAGATGTGCTAAATACTATCTCATAAAAGTTTTTGACTGACTTTCTGTATTATTGAGGCGCCAAATTATTAATTTATTTCCTAACAGTTGTAAAGCCTAGCAGATCCGACTATGAGAGGTAAAAAAAGAAGAAAGAAAGGTTAAAAATAGTTTGTCTCTAATTTCCGGTACACCTGATGATTCTTCTTGTTTTCCTTTCTTTGTCATTCCATTTGAAATCCTGAGAGATATTTGTGTGTTGAATCATCCTAGATGAAAATCTGGAAAAAACTAATTCAGTGTGTGAGATGTCTTGGGGGTCGAAAGTCGGCCTTTGTTATCAATAATCGCTCTTACACACTGTGGTACGACGTCATGTTTCTGTTGGTCTGTACACTTAAAAAGTCGAACAGCCGGGAAAATTCGAAGTTATTATGAAAATCGAAGTGAATCCATTAGACCCACTTAGGTCATTTTCGAATACGTGCAACTGTGACTCTATGGCTTATCCTCTCAATTATTCCCAGAAAGTTTGAAGACAATTTTTGGAAGAATACATATGATTTCTTTTCAGATTACTCCCCATCACTTTACTCTGATAATAGTCTCTAGAGTTAAATTTATGTCGACAAACATAGTTTGTGAAAGCATGACGCTGTATACTACTGAATTATTGGTACGAGTAGTCGGACGCCACATATATCAACGAGTAGTTTACTAGCCAGATCGAATTGATCTAAACGACCCTTTAAAGCCAAGTTCATCAGCAATACACCCGGTTCCACTCAACTCAGAAAGGACAGTCAGTGCAAACCACCACATTTCTTGGCAAAACTGGTAATGTACTGGATCAAATTACCAACTTTCAGATAAAATCGTGGTTTCCCTATTATACACTTAAAGATGAAATTTCATCACACTTTCCCCTGAAAACCGAAGTTAATCAGATTACGATGTGCGACCTAGAACACGTTAGCGGCACAGCGTCCAAATCTTACGCATATACTTGTGTTTTCCTTACAACTTGAACTTAAAGTTAGCCAACCTATTTGTAATAAGAATAAAGTGAAACTGAAACATTGTCAGTGATTGAGCAACTGATTCATAACTGAAAAACTTCCGCTTTAAATTCTGTAGTATGGTATGCATCCTTCATCTCAATGTTAAGAAAGTGGGTACGCAGCCGACTGGACACAAAGTCGATAAGGGGAGCAGATATGACACTTGACCATTATCTAGTGCAAGGAACTTTCAAGGTCAAACTGAAGGCTTTCAAAGCAGGTTGAGATAGACCGCAATTCAAATTCAACACTCAGAAACTGAAACAGAAAACTATAAAATATACCCTCACTGCAGCCATAAGAACAAAGTCGGAGAAACTAGGTACAGATCACTGAGGAAACGTGTGGAAGAACACTGGAACTCTGGGAAAATAATGTTAAACGAAACATGTACAGTCGTTTTAGGAAGAAAAAAGAGGCAAGACAAGGAATGGCTCTCAACGAACACCTGGAAGCGAGTACAGTCGAGGCGGATCTTGAAATGAAAGACCAATCAATGCAAAAATGGACAATAGAAGGAGAAGCTAAATTCAATGTACATCGCACTGAATAAAGAAGTGAAGAGTGCTAGGAGAGACAAAAGACAATTCCACAACAAACTGGAAGCTGAAGCAGAACAGGGCGCAGGTAAAATAGATCTCAGGACATTATATCAGACAAACAGTTCTCTAACCGGGTAGAGATCAACAAAGATGATGAAACCAATAAAAGATGTTCAAGAGGACCTAATTGCCAAAGATAAGAGATAAAGAAAACAACTACTACTGACTACTTCAAAGGACTCTTGAACCGACCATCACCCACAACCCGCCCAAAAATACGACCAACAGCCAAAGAACTGCAAGTGGACACCAATCCTCCAAAGAAAGCAAAAATCATGAATGTAATCAAGCTACTAAAAGCCAGCGGGACCAGAAGGAGTTCATCCTGTAGCATTAAAAACGGATCCAGAGACTTAAGCGTTTATGCTCACACCATTATTGCAAAACGTTTAGAAGGAAGAAGAGACACCTACCGATTGGAAGAAAGGTTACCGTGTCAAACTAACGAAGAAGAGCGACTTAGGTACCAGTAAAAACTGGCGCAGAATCATGTTCTCGTCCACGCCATTCGAAGTATAACGTCATCAGCCTAGAGAGACTAAAACATGCGCTGGATGCAGTACTCCGCTAGCCCTTAACAAGCTGGATTCAGGAAACGCAAATCATGTGCTGATCAAATTTCAACTCTATGCGTCGTCATCAAACAGAGCATGGAATAGCCGTCGAGTTCGAAAAAGCCTTCGACAGCGTTGACCAAAAAGTAATTTGGAAACTACTTCAGTACTAAGGTGTGCCCCAAGTCTTTACCAATCTAATTTTAACAGATACATGACAATGCCACGTGTCAGGTGATCCACAGTGGAAAACTCAGAGAAGCGCTCGAAGTGAATACAGGAGTAAGGTGAGGCTGCCTGCCTATTATCACCGACTATATCCTTAATTCTGGTGGACTGGATTATGCAGAAGACTGAGGAGCGAGAGAAGACAGGAATACTATGGGTCAACAAAATGACTCTAGAAGATCTGGATTTCACGGACGATTTACGTTTCAGGCCACACAAACTCGAAAAGCATCACGTTCGCAAAAGAAGCAAAAAAGACAGGACTTTAAGTAAACTTGGAGAAGAAAGAGGTGATGAAGTCAACCAACCAGCAACAACTAGCACCAGTCATCATCAACGTCATTTAGTAGGCTTAAATCAACCAGTCACAGAAACCATAGATAATTTGTTCTTGATCTATTCGCCAACTAACAACTACATCAAACTTTAGGTGGTTTTACATATACGTATTAAGCAGTGGAGCTCTCCTCCACTCATTACCTCTCCTTACTCATAATAAATCGTTCTTCATTAGATTTTTATTTATGTACAAAATTATAGTCAGTTCAAAGTTTCTTTGTTTGAAACAGTATCTGAAGGTGAATCATTTGAACTACTATTACTATTATTATTTTCTAGGAGCAAATTATTTGACTCCGATGTTAGTGATGAGTCAATTGGAATCAATCGCTGAGTAGGTATGTAAGTATAATGTGATGACGAATTTGGCGGTTGAATTTTACCATGTAATCTCCATATACCGTATTCATCAGAAATATGCTTCTCAAATACTGCATATTCGAGGACATCAACTGCAACATCCGGGTTACCGTATAGTAAACGTCCAAATCGGCTATAAATTGCTAAAATCTAAATTGACAAGAGGAAAACAAAGAAGCAGACAGTTGACATGATTTAAACCTTCACAGAACCTAATAATCGATATATATATATATATATATATAACCAAGAGGAGAAACTTTTTCATGTTCATCATTTATCTTTAGACGTATTACCTGCGAAAGGACACTTCCAGTTTCAGAGCTTATCCAGTAAGTTCTGGAGTCTGGAATGAACAATTTATACAGAAATGTTGTAGCTACACTACGCCTATAATTAAGCAAACTATGCTTCTTCATAAACAACTGTTTCCGCTCTATACTGAAGATCAGATGGCCGGAAAGAATCACCAACATGAGACTATGGGAACAAACAAAACAAGAACCAATCGCCAACCAACAAATATGCAGGAGAAAGTGGAGATGGATTGGACACTCGCTCGCTGAGGAGGCCGCTGGGTGACATCACGCGCGTCAGGCCATTGCTCGAGTGGAACCAGGCCGAAAGGGAAGCGGCGAGTGGGACGTCAGTGCAAGGGTGACATGGAAGAGATCGTGTAAAGAGGAGTTGAAATAGTATGGACTAACACGGATGCAGGTGAAAAGCACAGCAGAAGATAGAAGCAAGTGGAGATGTGCAGTTGAAGCCCTATGTTCCACTAGGAACCCAAGGGAACAATAATAATAATATTGCTCCTTCATAGTATACAAAATCACCACTGGAATACGAATTCATTCCACGAAGTGATTTACTCAGCCCAAATGATTTAATCGTCTGACTTTGTAAATTATGCACTGGGGAACATCTCACATTTATTCACAGTGATAATTAAAATATACACATATATACATATGCACACTTAGCTTTATAGTTTTCGCCAAAGGGTAGATGCGGAAAAATATAATGTTCAAAGATTGCATATTTAGTTTGAAAAGATATTAAGCAGAATCTATAAATACTAATTTATGTTAGCTCTCTTAATTAGACAGTCTCATTGAGATGACTGTAGTGTTTTGTAGGGGGTGTAGACTCATGATTCTATATTACTGCACATCTCTATTAAGATGGAAAGCCGAATTTTATAAGTGTTGGTCGTAATAATTGTGTAAATCTGATGACAAGTCGTTAAAAAGGAAATGGATTTGTTTGTATGTATGGTAAACTCAATATACTAAGTGCGACTATCTTTTTTTTGAATTTTTTTCTATTTTCATTCACAGGGCTTCAAGCTTGAGCTTTGAAGTTCCTATAACGCTTTGTTTTATTTTAACGAGGTGTGGTTGTTAGCCTCACGCCCCATCTTCTCGCTTTACCGGACTTACTTCCTGCTAATAAGAGTGTATCAGTCGGGGGTCGAACACCAAAGCACACGGGTGGTTGGTGAGCATCCACTGTCGCACTACAGACAGACGTCTATAGTAATAAGAGCTTATGTCATTGGGAAAGAGGTTGTTTCAAAAATTGGTCATTTAGTGAAGGAAAAGAAACAGTGTGAGCGAATTCATCAAATACCCAAGCTAAATGCATTAGGAGGCACAAACTTGGTTGCAACAAGTTGACTGATTCTGATTCATGATGCAAGCCACATATTTGATGGTATCCAATAAATTTAAATATTAAGTAGAAATTACGCATTCACGGGTGTTTAGAAAATAACTGCAAATTTCAGTATTGATAGATTATTTAACACATTGAAAGATATTACTACTTCAAAAAGAGTAGGCAAAATGTGAAACCATGAAACATTTAGTACTATAGGTGCTAGTGTTCACAGTATTTTGATCTTTTTGTACTGTGGGTTTTACGATTTCTATATAGAGAAACAGCTACGGATTACAGCTACTACTTTGAGTAGTGTAGTTACTTTGAAACTGTCATTTTTGAAATCTGAACAACTACATTATGAGACTACAGGTTATGGGTTTGCAGAGATTTGACTGGACTGACATTAGTTAGAGAAACACTGAAAACTATAGAGTGTTGGATAGCTGTTCTGTCCTGGTTTGGAACTCTTCAACAGCACTCATCTATGAACTCACCAGGGATACAGCCAAGGAGCTTCACGTTAGTGGGAGAGTATTTCACTTTTCAGTCACCGGATGGGATTCTAGTGGTTCATGTCAAGTTGCGATGTAGCATATTGAGTTATAAATATTTTTTGCCATTTGACGATTTTCATTCCGTACGATTAGCCAGTTTTTCTGTTTGGCTTCAACTACCAAGGAGTTGGCAGCCAAATGTACGAAACTCTCAAACAATGGACAATGTTCATCGCCATCAATGGTATGAACACGTATATTTTTCTAATTCCCTTTTGTATTGTAGAATACCATCTTAAATCTCACACTCAGTTATTAAGAAATAGGAGTACGTTATGCGCGTGTTTCACTAAGAAGTCAAACCTAATGTGGGTCAAACATTCCTGCAATGGATAGTAATTACCACCAATAAAGCATGAAATACGTGTAATCAATGAGCACATCTAACAAAAGGGAAGTGGTTCACTGAATTCTGCAAGGGAACAACGGGAAACAATGCAGTGTAATCGAAATAAATAAACACTAATCATTTTCAACATAAATGAACTAAATGGTATACTATTGTAGTGAGTTATGATGTGTTAAGTTAAACAGTGCATAAATAAATAAATACACTTGTACCTGTTGAGTGTAAAAGCGAACCGTGACTTGAGCATAATGATTATCTTTCGCCATGACTTCTTTGCAGCGTATATGAACAACTCTTGGAGGTTCAATATTACCCATAAACTTCCATTGTAGAGTTCGCAATTTCAAGTCTGCAGTCATGTCCTAACAGAATTAGACGGAAAATACATAGCAATAATAATAATAATTTAAACCTCCGAATAAGCTGAAGCTGTGAAGTTCATCGATTCTGACTTTTCGAATGTGATTTTGTGCAATGATGGTTTCTGAACAATATATCTTGGTCTACTATTATGACATAGTTGCAAAGCAATGTCGTATAAGCAAGAAAGCCCGTGTAACTTGTGCCCTAGATACAGAACAATACGTATTGTAGGAAGTCTAATGATACGACGTGACTTTCCACACTTAGATAATTGTTAGTGGGACCAATATTTGTTCAGGTTAATGAACGATTGTACTGTATATAGAAGAAACAAATACTGTATTCTTGAGGTAGCCCAGGAATTTCTCACACTCAGTGCAATACACATATGGGAAATGTTAAGCTTAGCTGAGATTTCAAAGTAAAATATGCCTGTTAGATGCTCAGACTGTGAATCTTAAATGAATAAGATATTTGGGGTGTGTGTAGCTGTCAAACGACAGTAAAAAGTTAGGCTTTCTGAAACGCCTATAGTTACAACAACCAAGAACACTTTTAGAAAGGTAAGGGATAAAACCACATATATTTATCCGGTTTATTAGGTCCCTTTATCTATATATTGCCCAGTTTATAGGTGGGAATACAATGATAGAAACACTATGGTGCTTCAACAAAGATCGATTTCTAGAAATGAGCTCCACAGCAATGACTTATGATGAACTTGATGGAAGCAAACATTAGTTGCACTGTTGAAAACCAGTAGCAAAATCGGTGCCATGTCTAGCCATGAAGATCAATGTACACCTAATTTATCTGAACGTAATCACACAAACTAGTAGAAATGCTCACAAATTAAGTGTTAGGTGTCATAATAGAGCATGATGTCTGAGAAATTATAGAGTACAGTGATTTCAAGTGGTATTAGAATTAACCTGTAATGTTAATTTACCTACCAATATTGTTGACATTTAGTATGGCGCATCAGTTATGTGAATCAAATGAAAAGTACTTTACTTAAGTGTATTAGATAGAGATAACGTGACATCTCATAAGAAAAGAAACATGGTTTAGTAGAGGCAACCAAAAATTCGACGGTGTCAAACATATAAAAATGAGACATAATTATTCTGAATGACGATTTTATTGTTCGACTGATTTTACTCCGAACATATGACATACTCAAAAATAGCAAAATATTAATCAGATATTTATAGTCCTATTCACTTGGTAAGACTCAAGGACAAATTCAGTAATACAATACGTCTGACTGATTATTGTAAATTTCAGCAGAGAACTTCACACAGAACAGCAGCAGTTCAGAGAGTGAATGTATCTGTCTCATTGAGAAGGAATCCCTACGTGCTTGACTCAGACAATTATCAAAGACTTTCTGGACTGGTTCCAGGTATTGATTTAACAATGCAGCTAATACTGCCCATCGAGGAAGATGGTAGCTTGGCATGCAGAATACGTGTCCTAGCCACCTCAATCTGTGTAATTTGACAACATACAATAAGTAGGCAAAAAACCGCAATACTACGCCTAACCTGAGGCCTGTTTGGCATTTGTATCTTATAGAGATCCAGTGATACAGTGATGAATGGGAAGTTTGCAAGCTGTTAATTTGAGTGCAGTGATAAAATTAGTCTTTAGTTCGATCATAATAATAATAATAAGTCCACTGTTGTCCATATTTCTTCGCCATATCTAACTAAAGCTTTTAAAATGACGGAACAAAAAAATGTTGGACATCACTGTCAAGATAATAATTATGCGTAACAAAACTGTAAAAACAGATTCTGTTTCCCATAACAAAAGTTCGTAATCAACGATGACGTCTACGAATACATGAACTTACCAGTAACGCTTTCTCTGTAACTAATTCAAATAACCGAGATTCATTCTGACGATAACTACAAGTTGACAGAAATAAAAACAAAAAGTTATACGACGAAATCTGTTTAGTGACTTGAAAGTAGATTTTTTCAAACAACAGCTATTTTAGTAGTAGGGTGGTGTATGCTGTTGATAAGAATTTGTAAGTAGTACGTTGAGTAATGTTTTTCACAAGAATCTGGAATAGAGCAGTGGTGGATTAAGTTGAAAACAAAAAACATCGAGGAAATCATGAACCAATATGAAAAACATCAGGTGCAGGAAAAAGAAGGAAACGAATACTTAGTGTAAATTGGAATTTCAATGAACAGTTAATGTATTTCACCAATACTGTCTGTATCATTATAAAATTATATACATTTGGTTCCCTTGATAAATTTTGATAGAGAAAGAAAGACCAGATTTGCAGTATAAAAAAATATCAATCTATTTTACAGGTTCTCATCAGCTGCAAACTAACTGAAATTACAACGGTTATCAATAATAACATTTCATAATTCATTGTTTGAAAGGTAATAGAGAAAACATTATAAGGTGAACGCATCCGGAATATAAGTATTACAATTTATAGTTTAAGTTACCATCAATTTATATACTATCAAACTATGAAAATAGGGAAAAGGGGAGTGAGAAAAGACAGAAAACAGAAAATATCTAGGAAACAGTGTCAACATGGCAACACAAGAAGGTCAAAGTTCATCAATCTGAAAACTTGCTCAGTGAGTTGAGCCCACTAGTGTGTATGACTAATCAGTGTAATGAAAGTTATACGGTTACCAAGGGAGTTACTAACCGCCGTTTGTAGGTTTCCTGGACCTAAATGTAAAAAGAAGAAACGATGGAACGGTTGAAAAGTTCATCTACAGAAAAGAAATCTAGACCGGGCAATACCTTCACTACAACAGCTTCTGCCCTATGGGCTATAAGCGGGGATTAGTAAGGACAGGGCCAGGACGTTATGTTCGCCTAACAAGGTAGAAGAAGAATTAAGCTTTGTTGAAAAATGCCCTGAGGAAAACGGGTATCCAAAAGGATTTATCCTAAAGTACAGCATAGAAAGAGATGAGAAAGAGAAGTAAGTATCTAACAGTTGAAAAGAAGAAAGTTTTCATTTGCCTCCCATACAAAGGAGAAACTGTATCGCAAAAGATTGAAAAGAGGATGAAAGGAGCAATGAAGATATGTTTCCCTGCAGCCAATCAGGTGACACTATACAGTACTACATGCTCTATAAGCCAATCGAAACTGGATAAGTACCCTGGTGATGTTACCTCCAACTGCGTTTATAAATTTACGTGCATCTGCGGCAGCAAGTACATTGGAAGGACAGAAAGAAGGGCTTCTATCTGGCTTTCAGAGCATATTCTGAGAAACTTACGCTTAAAAGGAAGCAGATATTTACAAAGTGCAATTACCAGACACCTTGTGGATACGGGTCATTTTGTTGAGATTTCGAAATCCTTCAAAATATTAGACATACAAAGGACAGTCAATCTACTACGATTTGTTGAAGCAAGTGCAATCAAACGTCACAGACCAAACTTATGCACACAGAAAGAGAGTGTAGTCAATCTCTCACTCCCTTGGTAACCGTATAACTTTCATTACACTGATTAGTCATACACACTAGTGGGCTCAACTCACTGAGCAAGTTTTCAGATTGATGAACTTTGACCTTCTTGTGTTGCCATGTTGACACTGTTTCCTAGATATTTTCTGTTTTCTGTCTTTTCTCACTCCCCTTTTCCCTATTTTCATAGTTTGATAGTATATAAATTGATGGTAACTTAAACTATAAATTGTAATACTTATATTCCGGATGCGTTCACCTTATAATGTTTTCTCTATTACCTTTCAAACAATGAATTATGAAATGTTATTATTGATAACCGTTGTAATTTCAGTTAGTTTGCAGCTGATGAGAACCTGTGAAATGGAATATCACATAAAATTATTTAAAATAATCCCAGTGTGTCTATGATCTCGCCAAACGAAAAGTCTTTCTACTAGACATCTCTGTATACTATATTGCAGTAGAATATGCTAGGCGGGGGGTCTTACTTACGTTTCAGAAAAACGTATGTGGACAAACTTGAGAAGACAATTACCAATTCCTTGTATTTATGTTTCAGCTCCATTATTCGGGACAGGTTTTTCATGTATCAGGCTAAGAGTCACAGTTATCGTGTGAAGCCGGTTAATACTACCCAGTTACTCATGATTAAATAGGTAGAGCGAGACTTAAATCCGTGACCCAATCGCTTGGTCGGGTATCTATAATTCTGTAGACATACATAAATAAAACAGCACCTACCATTGCACACGTAATGTAAATACAAAAGAAGTAATATGATACAATATATTCTAAGAGATGGAAAGATAAATGCTACTGTTTCACTAAAGAACAAACATAATCAAGGAACTAACACAGAATAAATACTGTTTTTATCACTGTCACATAAACACACTTACTTTTGTAATAAATCATGAGCTTCAATATAGATACTTTCAGCTTCGATGGCAAACGTTTTAGGTTTGAATGAAGGCTCATGAGATTTTATTAACATTGTATCTCTATAATTCCTGCCTTTATCAAGTAAACCATCCTTTAACTCTAAGAATTTCTAATGAAAGAAAGCGATGGTTCCTTAGACTGGAATGTAAACAAACTGAAACTACCTTTGATGAGAGTAATGACGTTTGACCATCACCATCAGGTGGGACATATGGCTCGATAATAGTATCTGTGAACAAAAAAATGAAAAAGAGAAGACGTTCAGCGAAGAGACTCTTTTCAGCGAATTCATTCACACAGCTGCGTAAATGAGGTTTTTCAAGTTTAGGTAATTGATCAGGTAATACAAGAATGATCTAATATAGAAGCGAGGTTAATCAGACAGCAACTAAAGTAAGATTGAGTTAGTAAGGTAGATGACGTAATATAATTGACTAAAATGTTTCAACTTAGGTCAGGGTAGCAACAGAGGTGATTACAGGTAGAGACTAAGTAGAAGTGGGGTAGAGAATAATGCCACTTATATTAGAACTGAAACTGAGCAAATAAGTTCGATGACGTAACATAAATGACTAGAAATTGAACGTTGTTCAAGTGAGTAACAGTGGTAATGAAGTGTAGAAATCGGGTGAGGGGTAGAGAACAAGAAAGTTGAAAATGCAAAATATCACAATTGAGAAGACAAAATAATACTAATGAAGAGACAGAAAAAAAGAGATTACGTAGAAATTACTTGTCGGGTAATAAGATAAATTATGTCCGTTACAAGTGTAGTGATTGAACGAACTTCTTCTGTATACAGAGTTCAGGACTTAGCAAGTGAATCGTCATTGCTTCTGCAGTTTGAAGAAGTCTGATTCGTACACCTTTAGGAAGACCATTTCTTACTCTGTAGACGACTTTGAAGTTTGTTTGGGGTGCAGCTTGGTGTCCGGATTCTATCAGTTGTTCTAAGATGGGGCTGTAGGGGCATCGATTTTCTCCTTTGTAAAACCATGTTGGTAGGTGTTCGGTGATACGTTTCGAAAGCGAACACTGGGTACGGCCGACATACCTGGCTCCACACGAGCAGGTGAATCGAAAAATACACATTGATGAGGCCAGCAGTGGTAGCTTATCCTTCACGTTCACATGAATCATAGGTTTTGTGGAGAAGGTTAATCGTAGTTCAGCTGCGAAGAAGGTCTTCTTAAGTGAGCGCGACAGACGATTTTTTAGTGTTTCCACGGATATATCTCCACTGAATTGAAGGTTCCTGTAGAGTGGTTTTTTCGGGACGCTAAGCACGGGCGGCTTTTGTGGTCTAGGATTCATAGATTTTGCAATAAATCCTTCTGGATAACAATTCTCAACGAGGATTTTCTTGAGATTGTCCAATTCATCTTCTATGGTGTCCGGGTACAAATTCTGCGAACTCTGTAGCTGAATGAACGGATCAGGTTTCGTTTAGTGTATAAGGGTACCCAACTGTGGAAGTTAGTAAGCTGTCCGTTCCACGTGGACTTTCTGTGGATAGACCCTTTCAATGTTCCATCCTGTTCTCGTCTTGTTAGTTGGACGTCAAGAAAGGATATTTTGGAGTTGGACTCTCTCCAGCGTGAATTGAATCGCGGGGTGGCAACTGTTAAATGACTTCAAGATGTCGCCTAGATTTTCTTCATTGTTGACGACAATGAGTGTCGTCGATGTATCTCTTATAGATTTCGTAAACAATATAAATGTTTTACTCAGAAACCAAGTACATGCATATGGTAGGCAAAATAATCTGCAAAAGCACAGTGATGTAGATAAAGCACGTTTTACACGTAAGTGCATAAAAATTTTTATAAAACAAGTGGGACAGACCAATATACAGACGATTATAATAGTTGTAAACACTACGGTGCATCAGTGCGACTGGATGATGATATTAAAATGGGATTAATTATCGTCATGAACTAGTCAGTGAAACCGTCTACTATAAACTTTCAAGAGAGATGATAATGCCTTTTTCATAATTAATTATGGAAACCTACATAACAACCAACGAGAAATGCTATAACATGTATAATTATAGACAGAGTTTGTTTGTTATATACTTTAACCTCTTCGATTTAATACTACTTTTAAAAGGGTCAACTAGAGCCTGCATATAAACCGTGATGATAAGAGACAAGAGTGAATGAAAATTTCAGTCTCCTGAGTATTGTGCGTGCTAACAGTATTGGGAAACCAATAATAATAATAATAACAATGATTCGAATTCAAAACTCACTAAGGATCAAGCGCTTAAGTCAATGTGCTTATTGGTGACATAAGGTTTATTGTTATTTTTCTAAAGATGAAGGAATACTAACAATGAATAAGCAAAGCAAAATGATTATTTGGAGGCAAGTTATCTAACATCACATCAAATCAACTGAATAGATTATTTTTTGATTCTATCGACCTGTAAACATGACTGAAAAAAGGAGTGATGTTTCCAAACAAAAGTGGTTCGTCTGGATTATCACATAATTAACAACAATTAGTGTTGAATGCTGTGATCTTTAGCTTAGAAGAAAATGTATGAGAAACTAAATAATGATAATCAATATGCTGTGAAGTGCACAAATATCCTACTGTTAATACATGAATTTACTAACATATCTGAAATGCATTATAGCATCAAAGTTTGATAATTCAACAGTGACCATGAACGAGTTAAACATGCAAAGAATCGTTGAAGTGAGCTACCAGTACAATAAGCCAACAGTCAAGCAAAAAATTTACTTGTATGTCCGATATTGATTGGACGATCAAAAAACAGGGGAGAAGGAAGCATTCCATTTCTACGTAGTCGTCTTCGGTAATCTGATACTGTTTCGTTTCCAGAAAACTTATCTTCAGAAAGATCCAGTGGAGGATCCCACGGTTGCATCTGACGTAGTAGTCTAAATTTTGGCACCCATGGTTTATGCCTTATAAACCTGACACTGTTTTGGAGCTCAAATAGATATCTCTGGTTGAAAATCGTGATATTTCTAAGCCTTAAAAAAGAAATATATCAGGAAAAGTTTACTTACCACATAATGCTGTATTATTAATTATGTGCGAAACCTGTATGAGGAAAAAAGTAAGCGAGATATTAACTGAACGGAATGATAAAGTTGCTCATTTGTAATATCAGAAGTAGTGTTCTCACCGTTAAGAACCAAACGCAAAAGCTACATGGTGGCTACATCGTCTGGATATAAATAAATTGGCTCAAGAGTTTTACTACTATTACTATTGGTTAGGCAATAGTTTAGTCTCAGATACAAGAGTACCTTCTGAAAGAAAAACTTTGCTAGATTTGATGTGCATCCACTCACAGTCTGACAGTCGGGAGGAATATAGGTGAATCAGGAGAGTTGTACTATTTGTAACTAGTACAAACACAAAATCACAATTCAAAATTTGTTAAGAATACTGAATACCATGCTGATGACATATCTGGAACGTTATGAAAGAGCGAATATGCAGTACAGTAGTTCATTGTTTTCAACAACCATTCAGGCATCTGTAATTGGCGTTAAAACACCAGATGTTTCAGCTTGAAATGTTCGTGAAGCCAAAATCAGATTGTACAAAGGATAGCGGAAGAGAAATTAAGAGGTAGCACCAGTTTGTGTACTTTCTTTACTTTACTTCGGCTATCTCCTACGGGAGGATGAGCCGGCTTCATGAACATCTCGAATCATCGCTGCCCAGGCGCGGCGATCTGATGCAAGGTTTTGCGACAGGGTTATCCAATTCTTGTTCCACAGACGGAGTCCGTAGACGGTTTGTAGCCCCAGGCACTCCATATCAGCCTTGACTGTACCAAGCCATGTTTTCAGCTGTCCACCCCTGCGACATCGCCAAGATGGAAATGGCGAGGGATTTAGAACTGATTTGACCAGATCGTCATCTGGTCGGCGCAGAACATGGCCAAACCACCGAAGGCGACGTTGTTGGACCAGTACTGGAATTTGGTTGATGTTGTAGCAACGACGACGCACTTCTTCGTTGGAGAGTTTGTCCTGCCAACGAACATGCAGAATGTACCTGAGGCACCAATGGTCTACTACCTCGAGTCTGCGTAAATCTTCCGCGCGAAGAGGCCAGGTTTCACAGCCATACAGGAGAACGGGTCGTATGGAGGCTTGGTAGACCCGAATTTTAGTCCTGAGACTGATTTCTCTCTTGCTCCATAGAACGCTCCTCAGCTGTAGAAACGCATTCCGGGCGTTGGAGATTCGCGCATTCACTTCGTTTTTCGCTTGGCCGTTGGGGAGCATTATGGATCCCAGATATCTGAAGGATGGCACAATTTCAATAGGTGCTCCATTTAGGGATAAGATTTCATCATTGCTGGTGGATGTGTTCGAAAACATTTTGGTTTTGGAAGTGTTAATTTTCAAACCGATAGTAGGCGCGAGGTGGTTTATCTGGTCGAGCGCCTGTTGCATATCGGGGAAGTTTTCAGCTAATAACACGACGTCGTCGGCGAATTCGAGGTCGGTTATGTGAATATCGGGCGAAAGTTGGACGCCGTGGTGCTCGGTTAGGGCGTGCCGCAAAATCCAATCAATTGTGAAATTGAACAGGATGGGGGATGCTGGACAACCTTGCCGGACACCGCTGGTTACCTCAAAAGTGCGAGACTCTTCACCGTTCACTCGGACTCGAGCTTTGGTGTTGGAGTAGTATGACCTGAGCAGGTTGATTAGCTTGGTCGGAACTCCGTCGAGCTCCATTAGATACCAGAGTGCTCCTCGATCAACTGAGTCGAATGCCGCTTGGAAGTCGATGAAGCAAGCAACCGTCGGCTGTTGGAATTTGTCCCTGTGTTCCAAAATTCTTCGCAGTGTGAATAATTGATCAACACAGCCTCTTCCAGGTCGAAATCCGGCTTGATTTGGCCTTGTTCGCACGTGGCGTTCGGCCGCGAAGCGGTTCAGGAGAATGGAAACAAAAACCTTAGCAGCGATATCAATCAGACTTATGCCTCGGTAGTTCTCGCATAGTGACCTGTCTCCCTTTTTGTGGAACGGTAGCAGAACTGAGGTGCTCCAATCGGAAGGAATGGTTTCGGACTCCCAAATTGAGCAGAACAGCGAATCGATTAGCGCTGGAGTGCAGGCCTTGTATATTTCTGGAGGTAGACCATCTTCGCCCGGAGCTTTTTTGTTTCTGAGTCTGTTAATTGTTTTAGCTATTTCGGTTGGAGTGGGTGGATCGCAGTCAACTACGTAGGGTGTTGGTAAGTGTCGTATCGGTCGATGAGACGGTTGACCAGCGTTGCGATTGAGTAGCTGCTTGAAATGTTCGGCCCATCGTTCCATCTTACCATTGGTGTCCGAAATAATTTCTCCTGATGCTGTGCGTAACACAGCATGACTGTTAAGGCGTTTGCCAGATGATAGGCGTATGAGGCGATAAAGTTTTCCGAAATCGCCTACATTTGATGCTGCTTCCATGTTAGTCGCCACGTTAGACCAATAGCGATTTCTGTCATTCCTAGCAGACTGTGTAGCTTTGCGCCTGAGGGAGCGATAAACTGGAGACTTTGCTAGGCGAGCGTCTCTGGCTTGCGAGGATAGATGCATGGTGTGCTCTGAAATCCAGTCTTTCTGCTTGTTGGATGTGGTACCCAAATGCGACATTGAAGCTTTAGAGACTACTTCTTTGAAATGATTCCATCGTGTCTCAGGTGTATTAGAAGATGTGGATGTTGGTTCATCTGCGGCGCTTAGTTCGGCCTGGATTTGTTTGGACAAGGCTTGTCGCTTTGTCGAACATTGAAGCGGGGCAACATTGATACGCTTCGGAGGTCGCGCCTTCTGGCGTGTTGTTAAACGAAGTTTGAATTTCGCCCTAACTAGAGTATGGTCTGATCCCCCTTTATTTCCGGCCTCTGCTCCACGATAGGATCGACAGTCTTCCACCGAGGAGATCCAGCGTGAGCGCACTAGGATGTAGTCGATCTGATGTGCAGTGCGACCGTCGTTCGAATACCAGGTGAGATGTTTTCTAGGGTGTTGAAATCGAGTGTTGGTGATATATAATCGATTGTAATCAGAAAAAGCTAAAAGTCTATCACCATTACGGCAGCGCTGATCGAGACCGTGTTTGCCTAGTATATGTTTTGTCGCGTCGTCTGAAGGGCCAGTGCGGGCGTTCCAATCGCCGGCTACTATGAGAACGTCACGCTTTGGGATTTTGTTGATTGCCTCTTGAAGATTGTCATAAAATTCGTCTTTGATACTTTCATCAGAGTCGAGGGTTGGGGCATAGACAGCGAGAACAGAAATGTCGAGCGGGGAACCCTTGAACCTAGCGATTGCAACTCTGGAGTTGACCGGTTCGAATGATATTAGGGCATTATTGGCTTTGTTACTGAGAGCAAATGCTACCCCATGTTGTCCCGAATTATTCTGGGGTCCACTATGAAGCAACCAGAATGAAGAATCTGTTCCAGGTACGGCTATTCGGCGGGAGCCATGATCGGGTAACCTCACTTCAGATAGACACGCTATGTCCACCTTGTAGTCGTATAAAGAACGCATGGTGATAGACTGGCTACCAGGATCCAACAGCGTCCTAACATTCCAGCAGCCAACAAATAGTTGGTTTCTAAGTGTTAATTTCCCAGCTGACTTACTTTTCACACTGGCCACCGGGTGAGCACAGGGCGCGTCGCTTACCGGGAACGCCGTAGCATGGTGAGAGTTGTTTGTAAGAGAGTTCATGAAGTTTCATGGGAATTTGGTACGAGTGATGTCCCCAGCATCGCTCGGCCTTTTGTTTGAGAGTGCAGCTCTAGCCTTTACACAACCAAGTGTGACCTACAAGGCAGTAGGAGTGGAGTAGGGAGTCCACTATCCATTGGCAGCCGGTGACCGGAGTCCGGTTCATACGCCTTTTTGAATGGGGCCAGACATCCAGGACATCCAACAAGCTCTTTGTCCATACGTCTGCCGGTGAGCTCCAGTGAGCTTCATACGCCAGTCGTTGGAGGTTTGGAATCAGGGTTTAGCCATCTCCCCTAGACTGTCATCCAATGGACAGTCAACCCGGTGAAGAGCGCCGGGCATCCGCTTTGTGTAATCATTAACAGTTGGCATTGGTCATGTAGAGTCTAGAAGTTACCTGGCTGATATCAGGAGTTTTAAATTTTTAGCGACTTGGCTTTGAGAACAACACAACCATGAGCATGGACCTGCCTTTCTGGGTGTCATAATCTTATCCACCCTCTGCAGAATAAACTTGGCAGGGTAATTATTGAGCGTCAACCCCACCTAGTCGACTAGCTTGCTAGTTTTCTAGTCGGTCCCAAGCCCGGGTAAAGAGGGAGGATTAGGCGTAGGGTTAGCAACCCTCCACCACAATCAAACTGTTATAGGAACTTCAAAGCACAAACAACACATTAAATATACGAAAAATTCGGCAAGAGTAAAGAATAGACACCAAAGTAAAACGACCTTGAAACAACCAGTCAGATCGTTCATCATTCAAAATGGATGATGGTTCATGAACTTCGTTGCAAGTTTCACCCAGATTTTGTTTTTGACTTCTGTGTGGAAAATGATTTGATTTTGATTTTTTGATTTTTGATTTACAGCTTGATTCCACACTGTATTTTTGGTACAAGTATGGAATTTTCAGCATGGATATCGGTAGCCCAAATTTTGCAGGCCGACCATAGATATCAGGTGTGCGCCGGCGTGGGCTCGAACCCCGGACCATATGCATGGTCAGCGAGAGTCCTAACCACTGTGCCACCGACGATGGGAGGTCTAAAACCTGCATATGTGGAGGGATTATGACTCTACAAAAGTATTGCCGGGCTATTGATGGCTACGCATTTAGATGCAACCACTGTTACATGAGGAAAACTGTGCGAGTCGGTAAGTCGTACATTATAGTAACTTTTTAGATACTTTCTCTAAATCAAGTAAAATACTGTGTATATGCCACAACTGGCTACTAAAGCGACCAGTATCTGCTACAGCCGTTGTGATGTTACCTCACAAAAGTTGGATGGGATCACCTATGTACTCAGGT